ATTTTTCAAAATATAATGTCGTCTCACGATCATATTTCCAGGGTAAACTGTAAGAAAAAGTTCTTTCCATGTACAGATCACATTCGCTTTCACACCGTAACGCATATTTGAATAATATCTGGATTATTATTCCGTGCGTGTTGATAATTACGCGTTAATTAATTAATTAATGAACATTGCGTTTCACAATCGTAAATCTCTAGACTAATAATTTTCAAATTTATAATTAATAGAGGAAAAAAATTAATTTAATAAATAATTAAAGTTATTTTTGTTTTTCAATAAATAAAATTAAATTAAATAATATTAAAAAATTCATTTTCTTGACAAAGTCACATAGAAGAAATTTCTATTAAACGACATATCGGTTTTTCAAGTCTGTGCTTCACCTGATTTATCTTTCCTTATATCGCTACTTAAAAAAAGATTATATCATTGCCGATATTTGATACGATAAAGTGGTATCGATAGACTGTCGTGATTAAAGTCCTGTTAATTTCTTAGTACATCTTTTGCTATTACGTAGCAATACGTTCTTTTTCTACAATATTACATTCTATAATAATTACTACTGTACGACGTAATTGCCCGCACAGTAAAACAACCGCACGTGTCGTTTACACTTAAAGAGTAGCTGATTACGACCACGCAGTAATTACTCTCCGACACACGTGGCTACGCGCACCGTAAATTAATTCTGCGGACGGTGTAATGCCATGCACTCTAGTCGCAAGTAAGATGTTCAATCGTGAAACACGGAGGTCAATCAAATTACAAATTACCTCTATTCACTGGCGAATACACAGAGAGGAGGGTCCATAGTCCCCCCTTAGAGTCTTTTTTAAAATATTTATGCAAAGTATATATATTATTTATTATCTAAACATATGTATTTTTTTTAAATATTATTTAAATGCGTAATTATATTTTAATTCTAAAAATATTTTTTTAATTTTAAAAACTATGAATGTACATATAGATTCTACTATATTATCCTTTTATTTATGTTAATATAATTTTAAGTAAAACCGTTTTTTATGAATTATACATTTATGAATAATACTTTTCCAATACAATATATATGCCACTATAATGATTTAAATATATATTATATCTTTTCATATTTGATTTTTTAAAAATGTTGCTTCTGACGCGCCAATAATGACCTCTTCCCCCTCTTGACAAATGTCTGAATTCACCATTGCCTCGATTGTGACTATCGATGATGCGAGAATACCCGGAACATCATGCGTGATAAACTGAACGCCGTTCTTTCACATCATTGCATTTTGGGATAATTACTCCTTCCGCATATCTCTTCTCCTTTCTTTTTTTTTTTTGCCTCGCGAGAGTCATCGGGAGCGCGATTCTTTAAAGTACATTATTACGATACTATACCGTTAAGCGCGAGTATAGAAGGCACTAGGTCAGGAATTTGCTGCATTTTGATGCGAAGGAACATAAAATGCTCATCTCTACGTTGCATGTAAGATCAGGTGCAGTGCGTCTCGGTTGCAACTGCGTTCGAAACTGTAACGTATTACGTTTATCGTTGAAATCAGCTCGCTGCAATTCGCCTGTGAACCGATTTGAGATGTGACCTGAAAAGAATCCAGGGGAGAATTAAATACGACGGATGAATGTTGACCTCGTACGATAAAATTGAGGAACATGCAATTATTGCGTAATAGTAATAGAATTTGTGATATCCAACGTATAGCTTTCAGAAATAGTACCCTCGGTTGTTTTACAATGACATAAGAATTCCATTCGTATGAGAGGAGATGATAAGAAAAACGCGATAAAATCGACGAACATGCAATTATTGCACAATACACTGAAAAAAAAATTTTGATTGGAAATGGATAAACCAGAACATTCTGATTCATCTCAATCAGAATTCTAGTTACCTCAACTATAGAATTATAATTCTAATTGAGGTAACCGCAATTCCAAGAATCTAGATGCACTAATTGGAATTCTGATTTATCCATTTTTACTCAGAATGCAACTATATAGATTTCTTTTCCAGTGTAGCGATAAAACTTCCCAATGCGCACCTCTTAGGTAATTCATATTATTGTATAACATCAATTTCCGTTCGCGCGAGAATTTCCCCAGTCAATTATCGACTTCTCGATTCCATATATCGTCTCTTCACTCGGCTAATATTATTACAGAATCACTTCACCCCGAAAAAGGCACCGGATCGCAAATACAGTCGCCCCCCTTCCCCCTCTCTCGGACTGTCCGCAGGAACCAGATCTTAAAATCGACCCGGTTTTTTACGAGCAATGTAGTTAACGGTGCCTCGTCAAAAGCACGCGGCCGATATCAGGTACCGGTACATGCGAATACCCGGGTGGTTTAATTTGAGACGCGCGTCGTCCGATCAGCCGACACGGCGCACATATCGAAATATGGGGGTCAATCGTATTTCGTATTCCGCATGATGCGCTTAGCGGTCGGCCCACCTTCTCTTCCGCTCGCCGAACTTTAACTCTCGCCATCCGATTAGACAATGTGGGCCAGCTGATTTAGATCGAGTCGATGTTTCTTGCGTTTCCGCTGATTTAGCGAGATGATAGCATATACATAGAAACGTTATCTTTCTATCTCTTTTTTTTTTATGGTTGTGACTGATTAAACACTGTTAAATTTTTAATATCAAATTATACTCAATTTATTATTTTTGATCATCCCTAGAGGTCGCCACTGCTCCTGCATTTATTAATTTAACTAAAACAGTGGATCTAAATATTTACTTAAGAAAATTTATTAAATTTGACTCATATTTAGTTCATTATTTACTAAGTGCAAACGTTAATTACTTTTAGATGTCGTTTGCTTTGAAACTAATCAGAATCGGTTGATTTATTTTCACACATCTGACAATTAAAAATAACAGAATGTTATTTAACACAAAGGATTGGGTTATCATTACTCTTTTGATAACTATAGCATTGAACATACAAATTCTGTTACACTGAGAAAAATTTTTTATATTTGTGACTATAATTTGTAGATATACTTAACTGCTGCATTGTTATAACAATAATTATTGGTACTCTCTAAATTCTATGGAGTGGAATCTCACTCTAAAAAGTGAAAATTGAGCCAGTCTTGAAAAAAGGCTCAATATTTTCACTTTTTCGTTCTTTAAGAATAAATTTACTCTAAAAAAGTTTATGAGAGTATAGTTTCAAATATATGGGCGAGTTTTTAAATTCATCTGCATATTATGTGCAAATGCAGCTTTTACGGAACAAAATTACATTTGCGCACAGTGTCAGTGCGATCAAACAATCGATGAATTAAAAAAAAAACTCGCCTTGTATCGGGATTCGCGGGACGAGCGACCCGCTCCGGAAGAAAAGAAACGAACGATGAGACACGCGGACGGTATACGGGCAAACGCGCGTGCGACTTGCATTTTTCTAGGGCACCGCCCGGCATCACCTGATTCCCCTTCATCATGTTGTTTTGCTGTTTATATACTGTTACATACCGGGGGCTCCCTGATATAGGGAGGCCGGTCGAATGGCCAGAGCCTAATAAACTCGACACACACACGTAATGTCCTGGTAACCGTAATGACCGGTAAGACGACGACGACGACGATGACAGCGGCGACGACGTGCCATTGCACGTCGTCACGCAGTTCGACGTAAAGGGGAGGAGAAATGCGTGCCGGCACGAAGCTTGCGATAACAATCAACGTATACGTTCCACGACTCGTCCGTCGTTAATTAATACAGTTATAGGTACCCCACGCAATCTCGCCACGTGCGCTTGTTACGATATCCTCGAGTGCCGATCACGTAATAGAAACGTAACGATATTTAATGATACGAAGCGAAAATCCCGCGAGTGCGGAACTTTCTGCAGATTCTGTTTTCTTTCGGATTTCCAGGCCTCGGCTTCCCGGAGGCACTCCGTGTCTCAATTTACGACGCGTCTCAATGTTTCTCTCGGCGAATAATTTTCTTGCATGATATCTTCGAGTGCCGACCACGTAATAGAAACGTAACAATATTAATAATAATCATAATAATAATGATAATAAAGCGAGAATCTCCCGCGAACGCGGAATTTTCTCCGGATTCTATTCCCTCGGATTTCCAAGCCTCGGCTTTCCGAAGACAGTCCGTTTACCAATTTACGACTCATAATCGACGAATAATTCTTAGATGTAAATTTTCAACGTTATGATAAATGGACGTTTAGCTTATCGCGCGACGAGGGAGCACAGTTATCTCCCCTAAGAGACGCTCGCTATCCTCCTTACCTACAAATTAAGTTTCTAATTGATCGAATTGGACAGCGCGAGGTACACTATACCTACCCGTCCCGAATATCAATCAGAAGAAAATTCCCTCGCGCGTGTCTCGTTTCGCGCGAACAGGATGCAAGTCACTGACGATGGCGACGACAGCAAGGTAGACGACAAAATCCATCGGCGATACCTGTCGCAGAAAAGTTTTTCCCTGACACCCGACTTGAAGTAAACACACCGCAGAGGTACCGTAAGTCTCGTGACTGCGATACATACTGCAGACACGCATTCCGCCGTGGGATTTATCGCAAATAATTTCGCGAGATCTGTCGTCCTACTTGAAGCACCGCTGGGCCACCGGGAGATATGAAAATTATTACACGCGACTCCGCATGTTTCATTCGTAAATAAAACGATTAATTTGATCTACGGTCCACAGTAGATACCGCCTCTTGGTATTTACTTTAAGCTCCCTCTTCTTTGACGGCAAATCTATTCGCTTCTGTGAGAGATGCACGCGGGAGTAACAAAACTTGTCTGCAAAAAGTTTCATCATATAGCTTTTGCTTTTGATACCATCGATGCGGAAATCCATAATGAATGACCTTATTCTTAGCCTCTTGAACCCAAATAAAAATTAATTTATATTGATAGAGAAATAGACATCTAATGACAGAGTACACTCTCGATAGGTATCTCGTTGCGGCAACCCGGACAGCGCAGAATGTCGCAAAGAGGATGCCTTCTGTTGCTGCTGCTCGGTCTGGCCGTGCTGAGGGAGTCATCATCGTCTACACCCAGCGATACCATTCGCGAAGGCGAATCTTCTCGCCAGACGCCGCATCACAGGCAGAAGAGGGTCTTCTGGTTCACGAATGATGGACGGATCGCATTGCCACCCGGCACCGTCATGACGATCACGCCGACGTTGGCGTTGCCATTCGTCCGGCATCCTCCTTACGGCTTTCTCAGCAACATGACTATCAGCCTGCCGTTCACGAGTGAGTCCATTCGCCACGTGGATGAGCCAGCAAACAAGCTGACGAGTTATTTGTCATTTTACGTTGAGGACGCCAAAATAATGACACAAATAACGTCAACTTGTTTGCTGGGGAGTCACGTAGATCGGTGATTATATTAAAAAAAAAAAAATGCTAGAATTATGAGCTTCTTTTTCCCAGTTGACTTCGACAAGCTGGGCCTGACTGATAACGAGAACCCGTACGGCGCTCTACCGCCGAGCTTCGACAGGAAACTAAGGAGCCGGCAGGCCGGTATGATGATGGCTGACTTCATCGCGGCGTTCATCAAGCGTAGATTGCACAAGCGAGACGTAACGGAAGTGCCGAAAAACGCGTTTCATGGCGGCGAGCGAGCCCTGCTTTATGGCACTGCCGAGGATATGCTCTCTACTCTGGGAATGAACGGAAAGGCATGCCTGTTGAGGGCAATCTGCGAAGTCCAGGGACACCATTTGAACAACTTCGGGCTTATCGGCGAGATGCTGAAGCTATTCTTCACGTAAGTATAAGTCCGATTCGTAAAACTGTAGCAAGGAACTTCAGGAGAGGATCTTGCCGGGCAATTTTGTTTCATAAAATGTACTCTCTAAAACTTTTAGATTAAATTGTCACTCTGAAAAATAAAATTGTACTCTTAAAAATTGAAAATTGTCTTTACTTTTCTTTAAGATTTAATTTTTACTGTTTAGAGTAAGATTTCACTCCAAAGAATTTAGAGAGTAAATAGTCATCTATAGAGTAATAAGTACATTTTAAAGAATCATATTAAATATAATGTTGTATTTAATCTAGATATTTTGTTTGTAGCGCTAGCCGATCGCCGTTTGCAAACCTCCTTAACGAATACGTCGAGGCAGAAAATCGAGGGAAGTTTCACGGCGACTGCTGGCCTTATTTCAAAGATTGCCCGAAATCTTTATTTCTGCCATCCAACAACAAGTATCAGTTAGTATAATATTGAATAATATTGAAAAATTTCCAAGATTTTGTCTGATGTAACTCACAGGAATTTTTGTAAAAAAAAAAAAAGAACTTAAATAATTAGAGCTCTACTTTAATTAAAGATTTCTCGAAAGCTTCTTTTTCTAATTTCTTCTTGCGCTCAATTTTTATTACATTGAAAGAGTGATATCTGTTGTGTATCTTTTAATATACATATAAAAAACTACGACTGCATTCTTCAGGAAAGATTCGTTGCACGACGAGGAGGATGAGGAAGACGAACATTGGAATCAAATCTCCAACGATCTCGACGAAGAGCCCCTCACGAGGATATCGGGGCAGAATCTGAAGGACACCATACATCCCATGTAGTTTTATAATCACTACACTATGTAGTTGTACAATTATAATTGTTCTCGGTGGTCTGCGCGGTCCTTGTCCTCTGAGCACAGATTCAGCTTGTATATTCTCAATGTTAACTTCATTTTTATTCAGCTCGAAGTTATATATCTAAATTCATTGCGTAAGAAAAAATACGTTTAATTAAAATATAATATAAAACGGAAATTACAGTTATTGCTAACGCGCTGTAAATATCCTTCGAGACGTAGGAAAAATTCGTAGATTCTTATGAAAGGAGTCTGCTAAACAGATATAAGAACGACTTGTGTGACAAAGGGATTAACATTATCGTGATCTATATGTATATCCATCCGAACACGAGAAACTGTTAAAAGTTTTGGCTGTCGCCGGCATTGTAAAAAAAAGTATATATAGATATATATATATATATCACTCTAACGATCGTTGTTTTAAGTATTTCGTCATTTTGTATGTACAGCGTGAGAATACTTTGGTCTAGCCATATATGTATAACTGCATGTATGTACTATACGATATGACTGTATAGAATCACGAAGAGAAGTACGGACGAACGATAAAGTATTGGTTTCGTATGTTTGATGTGCGATCATAAAGGAATGAATAAAAAAATTTGAATAAGTATTTATTCTAATATAATTATAATTTATTTTATATGTTAATATTAATTTATTTTATATGTTAATATAAAATAAATTTTATATGTTAATATTTATACAGATACATTATATATGATTTGAGCAAATTATTGTGTACATATAATATATTGTAGATGAACTATTAGAATATTATCGCTAAGAGTGTTTCTAATTTATCTTCTTTCACATGTAATATGTGTTAAGTCTTAATTTAATCTTGACCGAAATTCTAAGGTTTTAAGTTTCTTTGTGAGATTTTAATTGATTAACATCAGGTATATAGACACTTATTTGGGGACAATATGACCTAATAAGTAATGAGCTAATGAGGCACTATCACAATACGTACCGCGCGAGTAATCAAGAATATTCCTGAACACGATACCTTGCTGCCATAATATAAGTATAGTGATATGTATCAATATTTGTGTATTAATATTAATATCGATACAAACTGCTTCATTGCCAAGTGTATAAATGAGCTATTTATAAAATATTGTCGCGCAGGCAAGTGTAAAATATAAATAATAATTACAATAAATGTATTTTCTAAAAATGCTTTCTACACTTTCAACATGATTCCTTTTATACAAAAATAATATAATATATCTGGAGACACAGTAGTGTCTCGGCGCTAAACCAGGCGCAGCGACACTGCCATGTCCTAATAGACATCTAAAATAAGACATCTCTATTATATAGGATATAGAACCACTTACAAATGTCTTGTTAACATAAGTGGAACAAATTGTTAATGGTGTTAGAACTACCTGATCCTAAAACTTATTATTCAGTTCTGTCAACTGATTCTCATGAGTTAACTAAGATAGTTCTAACACCATTAACAATTTGTTCCAAGTCCTCCAAGTCAAATAAAAGTTAAAATGACTTCATTTTGACATCATGAAAGTCAAAATGATGATTTTTGGTCACAATTTAGTTTTGTTGAATTATTAACATAATTGATGCCATTTTACTGAAATTTTTTAATTTGTCAGCAATTTTTACATAAACACACACAGGATGCCTTATTCCAACAAGCGACACAGTACAACACAGTGATCATTTCATTCTTGTTTAACATTGATGAACAACAAAGACGTACTGGATACATTGTGTCACACCGTGTCATCTGTGTCGCTTGTTAATTGGAAGGCATCCACAAATAAAATTAAAAAAAGTGTTTTAAAAAGTATCTAAAAAGTGTGTTAAGTTTACAATGACATTTTAAATTTAAAAGACGAAATTTTTAACTTTAAGCCCTCTAAGCCGTGAAATAAATTGATCAATCACAATCGAATATGAGGAGGATAATCGACTATGATTGATCAACTTCTTTTTAAGACCAGAATCAGACTATGCAATAAAGATTGAGATTGAAAATTGAAATTTGACTTAACGAGGATAAAGGAAATTTAGCACCTATTATTTTGAATATATAAGAATTTTATATTTGATTTTTTTTTGGACAATATACAACTTTGTTGTCACATGTAGATAAGATAGAAGCACGTATTTCTGCCGTATCGATTGAGCACCTTTATTTTTTCCTTTCGTAGTCGGACTGTTCGGTGTAATCGGTGTAATTCGGACTGATTCGGTATGATTCGGACTTATATCGTACTGAACCGATAACAATACCGTATTATCGATCTGAAAGGATTACTCGTCCGGCTTGTCCTTTCTTCATCACGATCGTCGGCGTTCACGTTACGCTGCTCCAGATTTCATGCAGAATACTACGTACAGTACCTGTCATTCCCGTTCGGCCCCTCAACAAAGTAATATCTTACGTCGCACAAAACGAGAACATTTCAGAAAACGAACGAGCGATAACGGCCGACCCGATATGGCTTGTGAGGCCTGCAATGCAAAGTTCAACTTGTTCAAGAGAAAAGTGAGTGGACACCTTCATCGGGGATATGTGGCCCTCGCTGAACGATCGGTTCCTAAGGGCAATCCGACAATTCGACAAACCTTGACGAGTCATGCTTGTCTGGACAATGAATTCGAGTCTTCTCCAAATTGTTATGCAAATGTCACTGTAGAACCAAGTGTCATCACAGATTCACTACGTACTAAGTTATTTAGCAATTAACACTTGACTTTCTTCCGTTAGGTAATCTAGAATGTTTTTCTTTATTTAAGGACTCCACAATAATCTGGTTCCAGAAATTTATTTGCCTGATATTTGATCGAACTTTATCATAATTCTTGATTACAAAATTCTGACTTAATATTTGACATATATATTTACATTTCTTGCATAATTTTTAGAAACAATGTGTAGACTGCCTAAGGTATTTCTGTTCTGAATGTGTAATCAAACGGTACGACAAAATATTCACCTGTGATAGCTGTGGTCTGTTATCCATGAGGCCACTCATCAAAAATCAAATCAGACAGATACGTTCCAGAGACTTGCGCCATTATCTTATGGCAAAAAAAGTTTCTGTCAAGGGATGTGTCGGTATGTGTGTTTATATATGTATGTAATATATATATATAAATTATTGCCTACCAATATACTTCTCTCTGCAATAACTTCTTAATAGTAATTCCCCATAAGAACTTGAAAATGTTTTATAAAACTATTGAATTTTCAGAAAAAGAAGACTTGGTGCATTTACTAATGCTTTTTGCTAATGGAACTGACTCTAGCTTGACTTTTGACAATTCAAACGCCAGGACACAAAATGCTGCTCAAGAATCTCAGTATGTTTCACATTTTTGTATATATAATTACTGGCAATCAAGACTTACTCAAAAGAACAGACAATAGGAACAAGGAGTAACAGCTTTCAATCTACTTAGAAATTACATTAAAATATATGATTTCTAGGTTAAAATTTATTGCTGCCTATTCCTATTGTCTGTGCTTTCCAATTGTGCATAATAAAGCTTAACATTTGAATTCTTTCAGAGCCAGGTTTTTTTTAGTAACATAAATTCTTTTGTCTTTTTATTTTAATTCAAAATTTATATAAATTACATTTTCCTTTTTAAAAAATATTTTTTTAAGTAATACAACTGTTTAGTTCTAGAGTTGATCCTGATTTAAACAGAATGGAAAATATGCCAAATGTTAGTACTGCAAATAATGAACCTAGCGCGAACGTAGCCGACGTGCAAGCATCATCAGAACCTGTAAGAAACGAGGACGTTGAAATGGCAGAGGAAGCAAATGAAAATAGTCAAAATAGTCCAGTTATTAGTATTCCACTTAGCAGTGATAGCGGATCACCTGAGGAGAGACCGACGAAAAATAATATTGACCTCTTAATAGAAGAAATATTTGGAAATGACAGCAGTTCAACTGGACCAAGTACTGCACCACAGCCAGTAATCATCGAGCAGGAGGAAGTTCCTGAAACGTCAAATGAGAAAAAATCGGATATGGTTACAGAGATTCCCACGGTATATATATATTGAAAGCAATCTTTGTGAAATATAATATTTACTGTATTTTCTTTTTTTTTTTTACAGTGGTCAGATAAGGTGCAGTTATCAGATATAAAGGAAGCATCAGAACTAGAATATCTAAATATTAAACAATTAAAAAATTTGTTGAGTACAAATCGTGTAGATTACAAAGGTTGCATAGAGAGATCGGATTTACTGAACAAAGTGACCAGATTGTGGCAAGAGTATAATCAATCTAGAAAAGGTAAAATGTATTATATTGTAGCATAACTGGATAATACTCGTGTTAAATATAATGTCAGTTGTGCTTTAGATAGCAAAGATATTTATATAGATATAAAAGATTGCTTATAATATAAAGGAAATATTTGATTGTGTCCTGTTATTTATTGTAAATAAATTACTTACAGATGTAGAACAACTCAGCCAGGAAGAATTGTGTAAAATCTGCTGGGACGCGCCAATTGAGTGTGTTATTTTGGAATGCGGTCATATGGCTTGTTGCATAAATTGTGGCAAACAAATGTCAGAATGTCCTATCTGCAAACAATATGTTGTCCGTGTTGTACGATTTTTTAAAGCCTAAAAATGCAACGATCAGATGTAATAGCGACTGATATAATTTTATGCACCGCCAGTTTTCATAGATCGCGTAATTATATGATGTGTATATCATAAAGCAAAATTTATCCTATGACAAAGAGTGAAATTGTAAAACGCCAAACTTTTGTGCGACGATTTTCAGTGCATTTCGACAAAACAATAAGAACTAGTCCTGCACAAAAAGGCAAATTTTATGCACTTGACCTTCAAGTCCAAGTTGATTGGTCTTGTGGCATGTATGTTTTATTTTAATTACAGTTCAGAACTCTTCCTAGATACAGGACAGTATTTACAAAAAATAAATATTGTTACATCATGTGTTACTTATATCAATTAAACTACATATATGTATGTATACATATATACATGTATACATATATACAGAGTGTCTCATTTCAACTTTTGCTTCGAAATACCTCTAAAAATTCATTTTTACGTAAAAGTGAAAATAATAAGAAAAACCTCCAATGGCTTTGACAAATGTTATCCAGGCTATGATTCTGAACAATATTCAAGAGGTTTTAACCATCTATTGGACATCTTGAATAATGTTGATGGCGGTGGTACTGTAACTTTCAAGCAGTCATATAATTCGAAAAATAATTAATAAAAAAATATTTTATTATAGAATTTTGAAAAGCTCTCGAGCTACAGAAATACACAATAAAAAATGAGGAATTACCCAGCAAACGAGAATGGATTAAAATGGATTGGACATTTTGTCTATTCAAATGCGTATGTTAAAGCGTATTACAGCGAAAACTTTTTTTATTCAATTGGATTCAATTGGATGCAATTAGATTGGAAAATCTACGTTTTTTATTTAAAATTTTGAATTGATCAATTCATTTTAACGTTCATAAATCCGTATTTCTAAAAATCTGAATCCATTTCAATTCATTTTTGTTTGCTGGGTCTATTTAAGAAATTTAAAGTGATCTTGTCTCCTGACCTCAATAACGCCACTCAAGATCAAAACCAATGGTATCATCTTATGTCCTTCTTGAAGTAATGAAACTTTTATTGAAAACATTTTCCCATTTTTCTTTTTATATTCTACGAGATATTTTGACGCGAAAGTTGAAATGGAACAGCATCCTGTATATGATGCGTATGACTGTATGAATGTATTATACAGGGTGTTCTCGGGTTAAACCGAATTCAGGATCTGAATACAAATAAAAATTTTCCTCTGGACGTATGCTCGCAAATGCTTTGCTCAAAAGATATTTACTTCTGAAGTTACAGAACTGTAAAAATGAATAATGTCGAAATAAGGACTATCCTCTTTATTGCATTACAGTAATCAAATTTAATTATTAAATGTTTTGTTCAAAATTATGTCCATCAGCCCAGAAATAAGCATTACATCTGTCGATGAGAGAATGAGTGGTTGATTGACATAGTGTGTTTGTAATTTCTTCACACGCTTGCATAATTCTTTGTGTTAATGACTGAAGGTCATTAACTACCTGTTAATGAAGCAAAAAATGTATACAGATACTGCAGTACCTGCATACATTTTTTGCTTCAGAGTATTTTTGATTTAAAGTATATTTCAGAGTATATTTAAAGATATTTCAATTATTTATTCTCCTACAGTTCTGTAACTTCAAAAGTAAATATCTCTTAAACGAAGCGTTTGCTAGCATATACGTTCAGAGAAAAATTTTTGTTTGTTTTTAGGTCCTAAATCCACGATTTAACTTTAGCGGTTTAATCAGGGAGCTCCCTGTATATTGTAAGAAAAATTGCTAGGATATAATGCAAAGTTTTTGTATTGTGTGGAGTTGTGTGTGTGTGTGTGTGTGTGTGTGTGTGTATATATTTGTGCACATTTTATGACACTCCACTCTCCTGTGATTCTGTAAATTTTCTGTAAATTTTGTAAATTCTGTATTGAACAGAATGTATGTTTTTTTATGAAAATAAATAATATATGCTGTAAAAGCTGGGTCGAGAAAAAGTTGGGTGCTTCACTGGTGCTGGGATTTGAACCAAAGTCTCGAGTCGTCCTTATTAGCAAGCAATCCTCGCCGCGTAGCCACACAATCCGACGGCAGGAACTTATACCTGCTTACAATATATAAATTCTAAATACAAAATTAAAATATAAACTAAAGTTATGGAACTCTTTTAAAACATTTTAATATCGGAGTTTAAATTTAATTATATTTCTTTAACTCTTTGTATTAAATAATATTTAAGTGATAAAATGTTTACTAATGATGATAATTAAACGATAACTGTGGTGTCTAATAGACATGAGGTCTGTTCGTGTTGCTGTACTTTTTGCACTCGATATCTTCGCTTTTTTTCTCAACGCTCGTGAATAGATATTAGCATTTAAGCGAGTTCAAGACGGTAAAGCGGCTGGCATGCTTGCTAAGCTTAAATATGATTGGTTGGATCTTTAAGTAACCACCAATTATATTCATTTGCTTGGCGAGCAGGCGCTTTGTCAACTTAAACGCGCCCATTTATTTCATTTTAAGTACTTTTAAAGATTTCAAACAACGTGAATAGATGAAATGCTATAGAATACAGATTTTCAGCATTGGCTGCGTTCAGCAGAGAAAGCAGCTTTGCAACTGTTGTAAAATTCTTCATTATGATTGGTTTATACATTTAGATCCATAAGGAATCAGAAGCAAGAACCAACCGTATTCAAGAATTTTACAACAGTTGCAAAGTAACAGCTAACTTTTTCTGAAAACAATATGTACCAAGCCAATCAGTAAGCGATTCGGATCACGTGTCATCTCAAGAGGCCTTTTAATTTTAGAAAAACAGACTCCAAGCCTATTTCACGAGGAAGTAAAAGAAGAAATTAAAAATAATAAGTCTTCCGTTCAGCAATTAGCAACGCTCAAATTTAATGAAGTAATCAGCATTGATGAACTGGTTCTTATGAACAGAATTCCTTCAATCGTTTCCCCCCAATTGGCATTTGTGAAGGGAAACGTGAAACCCCTGTGTATATACACGCGACTTCACCGTTTCCCATTTTGTAAGAGTTTATTTTCGGTGGATCCGATTTACAAGCATTTAATTGTTAAAACGACTATCGTAATAACGGCTCCGATGAAGGACACGATACCGAAGACCACCAGCCAAATAAATAATAAGATAAATACATAATTTGAAAGAAATAATAAAAAGCCGATTCGATGCCACGAGACTCGAACCGAGGCCTTGTACTCGTAGTTCACATTAGCAAGCCACCGTCTTGTCGCGGAGCCACACAGCCCGACAGACGGATTTTGGTTTATTACACTAAATTATCTCCGTCCAGAGGCAAGAGATTCAAAACGAAAGAAGATCACTTCGCATCAAGGAGAAGCTTGTATATGATATTGTGATACAACAAGATTGGTAATATGGAATTAGAAACAAAAAATAAAATAATTGATAATTACAATGTATGCTTCTATGCGACCATGTGTCATGTTTGCAAACGGTTTGGCAAGGGCATCTGTTTGAAAAAATGCGGTGGCTGCAGAATGATTGCCTACTGTAATCGACAGCATCAGAAGCAGCACTGGTCGGAGCATAAAGCTTTATGCAGAGCTATACAGAACGTACTGCGAGATTTCACACTGGAAGACCGTGATGTAACTTTGGAGGAGTGGAATAACAAGAAGTTGAACTTGATTCTGCTGGTGTCATTAAAGCTGGGACGTCCTCTAAAGGTGTACGAGAACGAAATGTTCCAGTTTCCAAGGGAATGTGCAGTCTGCCATGAACAGGATGATCAATTATTGGAGGATTGTCAGAACTGTGCATCTATCAGCTTCTGTAAAGCACACAAAGATAGCATTATACACAAAGAGACCTGTTTCCCCCTGGAACTGTGCCTTCGTTCGAATTTATTGTTTATAAATGAGGAAAACAGTACTCTGGATCTGCATTACTTGCAACACATTTCTGATACGGATACATTTCAGAACATGAACGATTTTATAAACGCTTATGGAAATATTCAGACTGAGATGAAAATGTCGTACAATATCTTAGCAGCCAAACACTCACAATATCTCACACGTCCTTTGACGTTGTTCCATGCCATGCAAATATTAGACTATGTACCACAACGCAAAGATCTAGTCATTCATGTTGTAGCTGCAAGTTATGCCGAAGAAACTTCCTTAGTAACATGGGAAATCCTGCTGCATTTAATAAAGACTACAATGTCACTGGTAGTTATACTGATAGGACCAGAACTAAAATGTAAATCCAGTTCATTAAGCATTTGTGATAACTGTATATTGCGAAAAAAGAAACTTTCATTGGAATTTCATGATGTGTTATATGAAGACTACGTACGTAACCCATTATTCATAAAACCAGACTTGGTTGTGGGATTTAATGCAGGTATTTTTGAGAATATTTTCAGTGAGGAAACATGGACACCATCTATACAGATGCTAGAGAAACAAAATTGTCCATTTATCTTAACATGTTACATGCAAAAAGAATTAGAGGAAGAGATAGACAGAATAAACACCATCCTGGATAGAAAAGTAGATTGTCTCTATAGTGGGAAGAATCCATTTGCTAGTTTACGACCATTCAGAGTCCTTGGGCCTGAGCAAGTGTTTTATCAGAATCATTATTTAATTATCTACAGGAGTCTTTGTTTATAACTGATATTTATAATATAAGTGACTGATGCAAATTAAAAGCTGTGTTCAAGAAATTGTCAGGTGAAAGACTCATACTGAATTCCAATCGCTGACATTCTTTACAAAAATCTAATACTTAATATTGAAAGAAAGTAAATAATTTATTTTAAGTTTTAAAAGTACTATGTTTTCAGTATTTCTGTAAGGGACGCATATTATTTTGATATATTTTTATCAGTGATTTTATACAGACTCAAAACTTTCAGAATATATATCTATATTTATAATCTAAAAATCCTAGACACCATTTCTACTACTGTATACTACAAATCAATAGCATTGTCGAGTTATTTTTTTAATGGATTATAAATATAGCTGAACACATGTGAAGGCAGTAATATAAAATATGATATAATAGCGGTTATTTTATACAAATTTTGTAATAAAGATTTTCATCAATTGTAATAAAATATATACTTTTGTAATAAATGTGTATAGAGTATTTTTGAAATGAAAATTATTATTTCTTCCTCGACATTTTTAATTGTAAGATCTCTTTGTTATCGCGCGTCTGACAGCTGTCTGCAGCAGTTGACAACCAAACAATGGCAGAGATCGAATGGCCCTGGCAATACAGTTTCCCGCCGTTTTTTACGTAAGTATCATTGTGAGAAGCGCATATTGCAACGAAATTATCAATATTACTAATAACAGCATTTATATGCTGAAGATTAACAAAATTCAATAGATGTGTCTCGGAAAATGTCATTTAATAAGATCTTGCATGTCATAGGTTAGGAGCGTAGGTTCTAGATAAAAAGAGTATTCGATGATAATACAGTATTTGAAAAATATTCGAACACTTGTCGCGTGACTACATTCTATTTATTGCAGGCTTCAACCTCACGCAGATACTAGAGCTAAGCAGATAGCAGCTTGGAAAAGTCTGGTGCTCGAATACTATCGTATCACGAAGCAGGCGGTCGTAGACGTGCGCGAGATTCACACAAATCCTTTATTTAATAATACCAGCATAAACAGTATCCTTATTTGTCATATCGAATGATAATTATTCTACCAATTTCGTACTTTATGTATTCTTATCCCTGTCATGCATTAATGTTTTCAGCAATTCATTTATTGTTAGTATTTATTAGTCATTTATTACAAACTTCCTAGCAAACACCAACAATATATAACTTAAAATTAATTATTCAATAATGTAACTGTAGTATAACATAATAGTTGTATTGTTTAATGAGAAAAATTAATTGACAGTTACGTTACTGTTAGTTGACGGGATTTTGCTGGATTATTAGATCCTGTAGTTTCCCAATATGTAAATTATTAATGTAAATTAATCAAAATAGTTATTCTGCTATTGAAAGCTCCTTAATGACGCGATAACAGGAAAATTACCGTCTGAGGCTGTGCTAGTGATATTAGAAGAATTAGGAAAATCAGGAAATGCATCCCCACTAGATAAGACAAAGCAAAGATGGTTGGTTTATTGGCACACTTTAGAAGAATGGGGCGATATAATATATAATTGGGCACAGGAGAGTGGCTTCACTGATTCAGTATGTACATTTTACGAACTGACACACGGGGAGGACACAACTGAACAAGGTACATTGTACAAATCAATTTTTGTTTATCGGTATTATTAGAAATAATCATTAATAATTATATTACTTATTTTAGAATTTTACGGTCTGGATACAGAAGTGTTAATCAGATCGCTGAAAACATTAGAAGTTGCAAGAAAAGTAGAGCTAATCTCATTCGACGATAATCAGGGTGTCAAATTTTTCTAACGCTTGGAAAGTTTTTGCCATACAAATTATAAATATGTGTAAATTGTATTTAATTAATAAGTGATGTAAAAAAACTATACCATTGCTCATAAATGCAAACATTTATTTAACACAATAATACATTTTTCTTTTCTTACAAAAAAAAAAGGCAAACCAAAATCGCTCGGATGCTAAACTAATATGAAGTACCAATGTGGGAAGGCTTGATGATTTCGAATATGAAATTAATACAGCCAGTTATGCGGCTTTTAAGAGACGTAATCGCATACGGCACATAAATTTACTCGAAATGAGAAAGCGCAAAAATCGCGATGAAAATAAATGTAATTTTCTGTGCCGGAGTCAAGATATTAAAATCAGAAGGAATAAATTACATAAACATAAATAATGTGTCTGCACTTCCCTTGTATAAATTAATACTTTTTTGTCTAAAGTGCCGAACTTAAAGGAAGATCATTCTTCTATAATCGTCTTAATTTAATTAAAAATACTAATGGTTAGTTCAATAACTTGCATTACACTGGATTAGTGCACATCAAAGGCTGCTTTATATAAAGCATCTAAATATAGTGGCATTAAATAATCAACTTTAATAATGAAATAATATATACGCATATAAATAACGTGACGATATCATTATTAACTATATCAATAATGACGACAATCTATTATTTTATAATATTCACACATGCCTTTTTTTATATTTAACTTAGATAACTTCATGTTTAATATGCACTAATCTAATATAACGCAAGTCAATGAATTCTACAAGTTCCTACGAGAAGGCACTGTAATCACATCGTTCTTATGAATTACTTCGCTTCGGAATTACAGTCTTTGGAAACAAAAAACTAGAACATTTCATTTTGTTTCAAAGTAAATACATATATTGCGATGTATCTCTCATTCTCAAATTTTAATATAAAAAAAAAGTACAAAAGCTAAACTGCAATTAAGAACTAATATATTTTATAAACATATATACAGCATACTTGCTTGACATTTTTTTATGAATGGCAACGCGAAGTAATTAAAGATAAAATGACCATGGACATACTATTCTGTGGAATTTTCTTGAAAATTTGTCGCTTTATTTTCTTGAAAATTAGTTTGCGATTTTTTCAATTTAGCATTTAGAAAGCGAATTGACGTTACATGGCGCATCGATTTTGTTAGCGAGACCGAGAGAGAAGGAAAGAAAGTGGTGAGATATTATTGTAAATATGTTCTACTATAAATATGAACATGATCTAAATTGTTATTTACAAGACAATATAACTTCACTGCATTTAATTATCTTTCCCTCTCAGTTCTAGAGGTGTTGTTATTTTCCTCTTGAATAGCAAAATGTGTGGTTCTGAAATAATTCATTTGATTAGAGAGATATTTAAAATTAGAGATATTTAAACAATACATAACCCATAGAAAATACAAATCAACATAAATATTATATTAATGTTATAATTTCCTACTTAATAATGTAACTGTTATGTACAACATATGTTGTATTAATTTATATCAAGTGAAAAATTATATTGATGTAATATATTATATTGTTTTTGTGTTCTATATGAGAAAATATTAAGGTCAAATTGAATATGTACCGGGATCATGAATCATGTAGTGCACCCATCCTTGACTTTGTTGGATTCCAATAGCTCTCCATTCTTGTTCGGACAGCAAATGAGTTCTTGGCACCAGCTTCACCATTTCTTTCGGCAAAACCACATGCCTATACAATGTTTAAAGGAAAGAGAATAAAATAAAAATAAAAAGAAAAAAAAATAATAAATAAAGAAAAGGCAAAAAATAAGAAATGTGCATACAATTATTTGTAATTTTTTTTACTTTGACAAAAAAATTTATTAGCTGAATAAGTTTAGATGTTAAGATCATTTTCTAGATAATAGTGATATACTTTGGCTTGTGAAATTTGTTTAATCAAAGAATGTACATATACTTAGTTAAAAAATGGAGAATAATCTTCCTTTTGAAATGTTTTTTTTATTGTTCTAAGCTTTTAAAAAAATGTGAAAGAGATTATTTTTCAATATTTCTATTATACATGATTAAAATTTTTAATACAATATTTACAGGAAGAAGAATTGGAGAAAGCCTTTCTTTATTTCAAAGAAATTTGAGAATAAAATTTTACTCATAGTAAAAAAAACTCAGATTGCAGACAAAGAGTTAATAATACTTAAAGAAGTTAATAAAAAATTATTCAATTAAAAATTAGAATTTCCATTCAATTCTATATATCATTCAAAGAAAAATACAGATATAATTATATAAATAAAAATTCTTGCATAATCTTTTAATTTATATGTTGCAGTTTTATAATTGCAATATTTGTCGTCGGATTTTATTATTTAAGCCTTGCAACGTAGCTTGGACAGAAAAGAAATTTGATTGTCTCTCGACTGTTCTCCTACCGAGAAATTCGCGTTAAAATCATCGCGAGTCGTATCTCGTACAGCAAAATGCGCATACTGCAAAAATTTGTATAGATCCACGGTGAATAAGCTTCCCAACGCGAAATAAAACACCGACAAACCGGTCTTAGACGAGCAATCTAGTTCGGCGAACTTTCTGAATCAACCATTTTTAAGCGCTTTGATACCGAAGCCGGCGAGACGAATGGAAGGAAAAAGAAGCGAGTGATAAGAGAGAGAGAAAAACATAGATATTGAATCGGACGCAGAAACTTCGCGCAGCATTCCACGTTCCACGCAGAATGGTGTAGAATCTGTGCGAAAAAAAGACGCCATTACCTCGTGTTTGACACGACCGGAGGCTTCACGTTTTGAATAAAGATAGATCTTTCAACGATTGCTTACCTGTACTCGAATTTATCGTCGTAGTACTTGTCGGAATAGTAAATGTTGTGCGGCATCGTGTCCTCAAATTTCGCGACGGCGTCAGCGGTAACAACTCCGATTCAAAAACGCTGGATTCGCTCGAAGGACACGGTAAGCTATCCGAAAAGCCTCCCGCGATCGCGTGCACGCGTACGTACGCTGTCCAGTTTAAAAGTTCCAACGGATGTGCCGACCGAGCGAGCGGAGTGGAGGCCGCGGGACGCAGCGAGTCAAGAGAGAATCTCGCTGTAGGACTTTCTAGTAGTTCTACTTCACCTCATTTTTCGCGTCGTCGCTGAGAAACGCTGGCAACTCGACAGAAATAAATTGCAGGAAAAGTATAAATGAATCGAAACGAGAATAGATCCTCCCTCTTTTGCTCGATTCACATTTTATTCATTGCCGTTGATTCGCGTAGTTTGAATCAGCTGCGCCGTTCGCGACAAGGATTGGGCGAGATGACGCGCGTCTGAAACGTTCGTGACGTTCTTCCGGTTCTTCCTCCCTGCGGAGAAAAGTGAGGTTAAGTGTCACAGGATTTAGTGATTGACTTAATTAATTTATCAAGCTTCTTTCTCTTCGTTTCGTGATGGAGAAATATTGTTCAAGGAGATCCAGCGAGAAGCATAAAAAATCGAGGAACGAGTCTCGCTCGCATCGTGAGTCGTGGAAATCCTCCAAGCATAAGAGCTACCGAAAGAGGTAAGTTTTTTCTTCAAATTTTGAACACACTGTAAATGCTTTCGAATTGATGGCCAAGTCGGTGAGTGTAGCTGTTTTTGTTACTCACTGAATGCCAAGAAAGATGGAACATTTATATCGACTTGTGTCACTAAATGAAAAACTCTTTATGATTCAAAAAACAACGTTTGAGCAAGCATTTAGTAATTGTTGCCTGTAATTGAAGTAGAGCTTTAAATCTGTGCTAAATCTAGAAGAATCAATAGCAGTGAGCGTTTACTCAACTATTTCCTGAACATAGATGATTTTTTGAAGTTTTATATGGTATATATTTTTAATTTAGGGAGTCGTCAGATTCAAGCAAATCCAACGATGGCTCATCTACAGACTCGTCTTCAGACTCCACAAAGTTGTTGGAGAAACTTCAGAAGCAACGACACAAGCAGCTGGAGGATCGTAAACGACAGAAGGAATTAATGAAGGCAACAGAGACGCCAGAAGAGAAGCGCCTGCGTCGCTTGAAGAAGAAAGAAGCCAAAGAACGTAAACGTAAGGAGAGAATGGGTTGGGACAACGACTACTTACATTATACAAATACAGATAATCCATTTGGCGATGGCAATATCCTGTCTACTTTTGTTTGGTCAAAAAAGTTGGGGAAGGAGGGCCTACTTGGAGTAGGCAGAGAAGAATTAGAGATTCGTAACAGACACAAACAGGAGGAGAATAAGAGAGAGCTGGAGAAAGTAAAGAAGAGGAGACAAGAGAGAGAATTAGAACGGCAGCAGAGGGAAGAAGAGATGACAATGTTGCAAAGAGGCAAGGAGGCTGCTCAGTTAGAGCAATGGGCCCGGCAGGAAGATCAATTCCACCTCGAACAAGCCAGACTGAGATCCCGCATTAGAATCCAGGATGGTCGTGCGAAACCCATCGATCTTCTTGCGAAATACATCAGCGCGGAGGAAGAGGTTGATGCAGTGGAGATGCACGAACCATATACATACTTACGAGGTTTACACGTGAAAGACTTGGAGGATCTTATAGAGGACATAAAGGTTTACAAAGAACTGGAAAGAGGCAAGAATTTAGATTACTGGAATGATATAACGGTGATCGTGGAGGACGAGTTGTACAAACTCAGGAAATTGGAACGAACGGAATACGAAGTTGGTAAGAGAAATGATTTTTTTTTCAATTTCAATACAGATAAGCGAAGGAGAAACCATATTTGCTATAAGATGTCTAAATGTTTGTGTAAATTATACAAAATTTTCAGTTTAAATTCAATTATAAAATGTTATTAAACACTAAGACTAATATGACTCACTGAATATGGTTTTTTTTCACTCATTTGTAGGCATTGAATTTTTCTCAGTAGATTTTTACTTAACATTTTTTCTTTCTGTTATAATTCTTATTTGCATCATACTTTATCTTTTTTTAGCTGTTGGTAGAAGAGAAGGAATCCACGAGTCGGTCGCTAAAGATGTCACGGCTATTTTTAAGGGTAAAACTGCGACTCAATTGGAAGCTTTGCAATTACAGATTCAAGCAAAAATTACAGGAAAGCCAGAAGGTGTCGATATCGGATATTGGGAAAGCCTTTTGTCTCAGTTAAAAGGTAAGATATGATAAATAATTTAAAAATGTATTCTCAAAAATTATATAAATAATACATGCGATTTATACTACGTATTAAATATGTAGCCCATATGGCGAGGGCGCGGCTCAGAGATCGACACCAAGAGAACTTGCGTAAAAAATTAGAGGTTCTCATCGCCGAGCAAGGTGTAGCTAGAACGGAGAATGAGTTTGAAGGCTCGCAAGTACAAGAGAGCGAGACCATTGTAAGGCAAGATGAACCATCTTCTAGCGCAGCTATCGAAAAGGATGAACATAATCATTCTGAGTGAGTATTCTCTTCCTTACGCCGATTCAGGAAGTTTTTATCTCTCCTTTGCAGCAGTAAGATATGTAATCATATTGTATGTTTCAGTGATAATCAAGAAGAAACAAGCGCCGCTAACGATTTATTGTCCGAATCCTTCCGCGAGTACGAAGCGGGCGGCTATTCACCAACTTATATACCTTACTCGCAGCTAGAACCGGGTACTCTCATCACACAGGAAGACGAAGACAATCAGCGATTAGAGTACGCAAGGCAGCAAGTCCTCAACACCGGCAGGAAAATTCAGAACGTTCTAACGATAGAGGAGCAGGCCATGCACCGGGAGGCGCGCAAAGGCATGGGCTCGGACGAAGCGCAGTTCAGCGTCGAGTCATCGTTGGAAGCGCAAATCTATCTATGGTCCGACAAGTATCGACCACGTAAACCGCGCTACTTCAACCGCGTGCACACAGGCTTCGAGTGGAATAAATACAATCAGACACACTACGACATGGACAATCCGCCGCCGAAAATTGTACAAGGATATAAATTCAACATTTTCTATCCGGACCTCATCGACAAAAATACCACGCCGGAATACTTTCTTGTAAGAAATCTGGGTCTTCTTCAGACATATTATTGTGAGACTTGTTCTTTTTCGAATAAAGTTCTGAACTGTACACATATTAGTACAATAAGTTGGAGTGAAACAAACTATATTTGTTTAATTTACTGTACCAGAATACACCAGTTCAAAATTTTCTTCAAAAAGGAACAGGCCTTTAGCCTACAACACACGATGCATTTTTCCTGCCTCTAGATTTGCATTTTAATTAATAAAAAATTACTAAAAATTCTGCGTTTTGTGTAATCCAATTTTAGTACTTCACTGAAACGTAAACAGTTCAGTAGGAGAAAATGTATCATGTGTACCCCTTTAGGCTTTAGATTAGCATTGATGCATAATTTTTTCTTTATAAATAATTATGATTTTAATTTTCAGACACCCTGCGCCGACAATAAAGATTTCGCCATCCTGCGATTTCACGCAGGCCCGCCTTACGAGGACATTGCATTCAAGATTGTCAATCGAGAATGGGAATACTCATACAAGCGTGGATTTAGATGTCAGTTTCACAACAACATCTTCCAATTATGGTTCCACTTTAAGAGATACAGATACCGTCGTTAACATATGTATATATCGTTATATAACTACAATTTTATAGAACACTTGTACAGACTTGTATATATATATATATCGTTCTATTTGTACAATATATCGTGTAAACATATTTTTTTAATATCATTTATACAACAAAAAAAAAGAAATAAAAAGGGGATCTATAATATATAGTGGCTGTGTTATGACCAAAAAAATGTGCGGTTCTCGCAGTTCATAATTGCGCATACTTTTATCGCTTGCTCGTTCGCTTTCGAACGACTTCCGCGTAATGACGAGAACACGCAGCACACACCGGGCGCGATATAGTCAGTGTTTTAAACGGCGGTCGTTGGATCGATTTTTCCTCTGCCACCTGTGTACTGTCGCACAGTCGACCGTACACTTATACATATAGAAAGGTAAAAGCTGTACGGAGCTAATGGCAAGGTGAAGCCGAGCTCGCAGTACGCCGCGTAATTCGGTATAGCAAGGGGCCGCGCGTTGTCGGGAACTTCGCTTCCGTCTGTGCTCACGCACAATTAAAAATAAATGTGGATCGCGTGGACTGCGTATTGACGACCACGGCCGTTATTTGCGCATTCGTGTTATTTGTACGTACGATTTCTAAAACAAAAGAAAGTTCCCGCATTTTTATTGCGAGTGCGGGTGATGTAACGCAGTTACCTCCGGCGTTGTCATTCGATTAGTATTATGATTAATCGGATTCTCCTGTACTATTTCGTTCGAATTGTATAGACATCGAGACATACCATCGGGCGGGCAAAGATACTATGTATTATGACGTCAATCGCATAACTTTAAGTACATAAGTTCGAAGAAAAGCGATGATCGTTTGCATAGAAAATGTAAAGCGAAATTTCCGGTACGAAAGTTCTTCGAGATGTCAATGATAAGACAACTTACAGAATGATTCAAGTTTTACTTCTAAACGATGCAATTTAAGTTCCGAACTTTAACTCTTTAATTGTTTTCGTCTTATATCAATGTAAAAGCGTTAGGGGGGGGGGGGGG